CTTCGTTCTCCACGTCGTCGTTCATGAGCCCCCCCAGCCACCTCTTCCACTCCTCGTCGTCGGCCGTGTTGGGGTCGTACATGTCGGGGGTGATGTCGGGCGCGCGCAGCTCGGCCTCCAGCTGCCCCAGGGGCACGTCCTTCAGGGGCCTCTTGGAGCGGGTCCTGAAGGCAATCAGGCTGTCCTCCAGGGGCTGGGGACAAGGACACCGCGCTCACCACAGCCCTGCTTTCCCGAGAGCCCACCCCCGGTCCCACCGCGCGGAATTTCGGCGGCCGAGAGGGGCCGAGCTCCCACCAGCCACTCTCCCTGCTCATTTAATCAGCTCACACTAAACCCTTACCAGCAATTTCCACTTCCTGGGTTTCATTTTCACGTGTGTTTATGTTTTTTTTTTCCCTGTTTTGCTGTGGTTCTGCCCTCCCCGCCGCCTGAGGTTAACGGGGAGCAGCAGCACAGGGGTTGTCATCTCAGCCCACCCTTGCACAGAGCAGAAACGCTCTTTCTCATCATTTACACGAGGCAGGGCTTCTCTTACAACCAGTTTCCTCAGCTGTTGAATAGCTGATGGTAAATGGGTGATGGGAAAAGGGGTGATGGTAAAGGGGGCGATGGTAAATAAGGGGGGATGGTAAATAAGGGGCGATGGTAAATAAGGGATGAGGGTATAGCTACTTCTGTTCTCTCACAGAGCCCATGTCCTACCCACTGTGGAGATTCAATTCCACAGAATCACAGCCCCATGGAATGGTTTGGGACCTTAAAGGGACCTTAAAAGATCATCCTGTTCCAAGAGGGGACACCTTCCCTCAGAGCAGCTCGCCCAGATCTCCACTTCTTATTTAAACTCACAGGAGCAGAGCAGAATGCACTGAAAGGAGGGGCAGAGAACACCCAGAAATCCACCAGAATTCCAACAGGTTTTGGCCCAGCTAACCCCCCCCCTGCACCTGGAAGGAGTCCATGCACACGGGGCTCGAGGCCAGCTCCTCGTCCACGGCGTGCAGCTTCTCCATGAACGTGCTGTCCTTGCTCTGCTTGGGTTTGGGAGGTGGGGGAGGCCCCATGGGGACGACCTCGGCGCTGATGTGCCTCACCACAGGGGGGGTGACCTTCTCCACCTGATCAGAAAAGGCCTTCGTGTTAAAAAGGGTTTTATTTAGGGAGCAGATTTCCAAGGATGGGATAAATAATTCTCTTTTTTTTTTTTTTTCTGGTCTGGCAGAGGAGGAACAAGAGAAAAAAGCTTCTCAGGGGGGAGATGGATCCTTCCTGTTACACTCTCACTTTGCTTTTCAGAAGGCACAGAGATACACAAACACTGGCAGGAAAGGAGATTTTTGGGAGGTTTGAGTATCGGTCTCCGCATCCTTAGAGCTGATAAACCAGTTATTGTGGCAGAATCCAAACCCACGCTGAGTAAATGGGGAAATATCAATATAATTTTGATATTCTGACTGCAGGGTCTAGTTCTCAGGAGCTTTCTTGTCCTTCTCTGCTGATCCTTTGTCCTCATCACTCTGCACTTACCACCCCCACCGACCTGACAGCGCACAGAGCCACCCCAAACACCTTTATTTTTCTATAAAACCCACTCTCCCCTGCACTCCTCTCAAAAACAACCAGAAAAAACGAACCATTATCCGAGACAAAGCCCTTGGAATGGAAACAGCTGAGCGCTCGTTTCAGAGCCGGTTCAGGGGACCCTAAACCCCGCCAACACCTGGAATGGGCCCGGATTCTGGGCTAATAAATCGGGAATAACGGCTGGGAGCGGATTCTGAAGAAGGAAGGAGTTATTCCTTCAGATTTACCTCGCAGGGAGTGCCCCCCTCCTCGTCTGACGAGCGCCACGTCCGGGATCTCTTGGCCCCGCGGGGGGACGAGGCCGTGCTCTCCACGTCGCTCTCCAGCAGGCTCTGCAGGGCAGGACAGGCTCAGTGGCCTCCAACTCTGCTTCAGCCAGCACTTCAAAGCCTCTTCTTTAGCCCAAATTAATTAACAGGCCAGGAGGTGACTCACAGAGGGGGAAATGAAGAGGGTTCCTGCACTCACCTCTTCTGCAGTCTCATCCTCATCCTCATCCTCAGGCTGGTATTCCTCATCAGATGAATCATCCTCCTCCAGGGGGATGTCCACAAACTGAGGTGGCTGCAGCACAGGAGAAGGAAGTGATTTATTTATTTATTTATCTATTTATTTATTCATTTATTTGTGTGAGGCACAAAAATCACGCCAGAAAGACTCCCTGTGCTGCCTTCCAACAGGGAAATGTGCAGAAGCAGCAGCAGCAGCAGCAGCAACCAGAGGCTGAGCAAAGTCCTTCAGTTTGTTCAAATATTTTTTACAGGCAGAGGTAGAAATCAGTGGGGGGGGGAAAAAAAAAAAAAATTAAAAAATAAAATCAAAGTAACGACCCCCGGTGGGGGAGGGGGGGGAAATCGTGACAGGAATTTTTTGCTGTCCCAGGGGCGGGAAACTTTGGAACAGGCTGAGCTGCAGAGCCTGCAGAGCAAAGATTTCTAAGTGAGGAAACGCCCCTGAAGGCCACTTTGCCTCGCTCACCTTCGCCTCGTTCGCCTTCTTGATGGGGGAAATATTCCACGTGGGGATCACCTGGGGAGAGCAGAAACCCTGGGGCTGTTTCAGAGCTGCTTTCACAGCTCAAGGGGACTCTTCAAAAAATCACAGCTGGGCCAAGCAAGGCCAGAACTTGGAAGGGAAGGGGGAAGGTGCCACAGGAAAAGCAGATTTCAGACTCACCACCCCTTTCTCCACAACTTCCTTCAGCTTGGAACGAGTCATTTTGGGCTCCTGAGGGTTTAAAACAAAGACCAGAGCGACCGATTCGGCCACTCTCCTTTACTGCAGACCTTTTTCCCAGCAACTCTTTATTGGGAAACTTTCATCTACCTTTAAATTCACCTCCTTTAGATTCACCCCCTTTAAATTCACCTCCTTTAGATTTACCCCCTTTAAATTCACCCCCTTTAAATTCCTCCCCTTCAAATCTACCCCCTTTCAAATCCACCCCCCCTCAAATCCACCACCAAAAATTCTGTTTATAACTGACACTCAGACACAGACACTCCTCCCTTCATCCAGCTGATAAATCTGGTGATGAAACCCGATTATTATCATAAATATCATCATAAACCCCCCCCTGTTCTGCCTCCTCCTCTCCACAACCCTGAAGAGACAGAGCAGTGAAGGCATCAGGCATTTGGAACAACTGGAAAAAAACCCAAAATAAAGAAGGTTTTTTACTCACAAACAGAGGAATATCCTCTGTCTCACTGATGGCTGCTTTCATCATGGCCACCACGTGCTCATTTGTGATCACTTCCTACAGGAATATACACAAAAAAAAAAGAGTTCTTTACATTCTCTTTGTTAAAGAGACACAGCAGGAAAGCTAAATCTTAATTAAACTCAAACCTTTAAGCACTCCCAGGCTCCCAAAACAAGGGGTTGGCTTTCTGTGGAGAGTATGGAATAACCAACTATATTATTGTATATTCATAATTTGTGAACTCTTTAAAAAAATTGTGCTGCATCATCCCAGCACCTCAGGAGAAAGGAATTAATTTGTGGCCCTGGCACGGGATCTGCCTGAAAGAATATAATATATTCAGGGAGGAAAATATGAATATATATATATAAATATATAATGAAAATATAATATTTTCAGGGGGGAAATAATCTGAGATCACCTGGGTTGGAACAACACCAGCTGCCAGGGGTGGGGAGAAAAAAACACAGCACCGTTTCTGTGGGAAAATAATTCCTATTTCTCTCCAGCCCTGCTTTGGGATGAACTTTGGGATGAATCCACAGCCAGGAAGGGCAGAGTCAGAGATTCCTCACAGAGCTCTGACAGCAGAGATATCCTGGCAGTGCCTTTCCAGGAGGGAAAGGAGGGGGTTGTGGGATGGACTCAAGGCCTGGGCACCGACGATGGGTGATGCACTGGAATTCCATCAGGATTTTGGGATGGAGTACCAGCTCACAGCCCACAGCCTGATCCCCTGGAGGATGGTTTTCAGCTCAGTTATATTCCTGCTGCTCAGGGAAAATCAAAACAACCCCTTGTGCCTCTGGAAATGAAGGGAATTGGGATCGACCCCCTCCCACCCGAGCAGGGTCCAGGTGACACCTGCTGATTTACGGACCCCAAAGGAGACGTCAGGTGGCCAAGACATCCCTGGGCACGAACCCCAGTGCCACCACCAGCGCCCACAGGCTGGCCTGGAGCCTCCCCAGCCCCCTGGAGTTGCCCCCAGACTCACGTGCAGGATGTTCCTCACGTTGACCACGGTCAGGTTGTGCTGCTTGGCCCCGTCCTCCAAGGTGCGGTCCAGGGTGTCGTCCAGCTTGATGTCACAGGACAGAGCCCCCCGCTCCTCCTCTTCCTCCTCCTGCTGCTCCTCCTCCTCCTGGCTCTTCCCTTCTCTTTTCCTTTTGGTTGCCTTCCTCCTCCTCTTCCTCCTCTCCGTGTCCTCCCCGTCCTGCTCCTCTGAAAACGAGCGGGGAGGGGACCTGAGCACTCACGGCTCATTCACAGTTTAAAAACCAACCCCCAAACCACAACCCTGCGGCTCCTGAGGCAGCAAAACTTCACCCTGCTGATGGGAAGGGTGGGGAAGGGAATGGAAATGGAGAGATGGGAAGGGCCACGACAACCAGAAGGTTTTCTGAGCGATGGATTCAAACGCTGTGTGGCCGCCGCCTCTCTCAGGCTGATTTTACAGAGCAGCCTTTTTTTTCCTGCACCTTTTCCAGAGGGAAAAAGCTGCAAACTCCAGGCACCACCCAGCAAGAACCAGGATGCAGCCTGCAGGATTTGAAGTGCTTTCCAACAGCCACTCAGGGGGAAGCGGGAACCACGACTGCCTCCGAAGGAAAAGCGGCGTTTCCAGCGACCCCAAAAAACTGCTGGTATCGACTCCAGCAAGTTCCAGCTCGGGACACCTGCGGTTTGCTGAGCCACTGAATCACAGGGGCAAAAAAAAATGCTGCCCCCTGAACATCCCCCCCACGGGGGTGTTCACAGCTCCAGTGGAAAGAAAAGCCACTCACCAGGCCTGGGGTTCTTCGGTGGCTTCGTCGCGGCAGGATTCCTTCCAGCCACCTGCAGGGAGCTCCTCCCGGGAGACTCGGGGTTTTCAGGGGGACAGGGGTCCCTCTGGGAACTCACTTCCACCTCTGTGAACAGCTTGGGGACCTTCCCTGGGAACAGCACACAGCGAGCTGGGCTCAGGTGTGTCCCAGAGCCGAGTTAAAATACAGGACTTTATCACGAACGCAGCAGGAGATTAAATAAAAGTTCTCCACATCCCTTGAGCTCAGGGGGGGGAAACAAAAAAAAAACAAAAAACAAACAAAAAAAGGATGAGGAATTTAAAGAATTTAAAGCCAAAGAGCTCTGAGAAGCAGCTCTGACTTCCACCAAGCCAAGCTTTGCTTTTGAAGCCTAAACTCGAGGTCAGGATTTACCAAGCCCAGCCTAAAGACCATCTGTACTTGGTGTGCCTGGGGGATCAAGCACGGGGGGAAAACAGCTCAGGGACAGCGGGGCAAAAACACCCTGGAAAATCAGAAATTTCAGGAAATCAGGGAATGGTTCGGGTGGGAAGGGTCACCTTCCACTTAGATCGGGTTTTGCTCCAGCCTTGGAGCTCTGGACACTTCCTGGGATGGGGGGGAAACACTGGGAAAAGGGGCTGGTTTTTACTCTGTAACACTTCCCAGAAGAATAAATAAATAAATAGATAAATAAATAGATAAATAACCAGATGAATAGATAGATAAATAACCAGATGAACAGACAAATAACCAGACAGATAGATTAATAAATTACCAGACAGATAAATAAACAGCCAGGTAAGTAAATAAATAAATAAATATAAATAAATAAAATAACCAGAAAACCTCAGGGCTCAAAGCCACCCCCCTTTCAGATAGACAGATGCATAGATTAATTAATTAATAACAACCACCACAAACCCCCCAGGCCCCAAGAACTCCCCACAGTACGTTCTGCCAGGGACAGGGGGGAAGCTTTGGGAAAGGGGCTCGTTTTCACTCAGAACTGTAACACTTCAGAGAGAATTAAATAAAAAACCAGACAGATAGATAGATAAAACAATTAATTAATTAACTAACTAATAACAACCACCACAACCCCCCCCAGGCCCCAAAAGCCCCCCCTCATACGTTCTGCAAGGGATAGATAGGGAGGAAGCTTTGGGAGCTTTCAGAGAGAATAAAAAAAATAGATAGGCAGATCAAATAATTAATTAACTGACTAATAACAACCCCCCAGGCCCCAAAAGCACCCCCCTCTTGTGCCCCCCCCCATCCCCGGTACCTTCCGCGGGGCTGCCGGGGGGTTTCCTGGAGGCCTCTCCCTGCCCCTTCCCCGCCGCTCTCCCGGACCCTCCTCCTCCTCCTCCTCCTCCTCCTCCTCCTCCTCCTCCGCCGCCGCCATCGCCGCCGTCCCCGGGGCCCGGCGGTTCCGCGTCCTCCGGCGCCGCCGCCGCCGCCGCCCGGCGCTTCTTGCAGGGCAGCATCTTCAGCGCCAGCGCCATCCCGGGACGGGAAAGGATGGAATCCCGGGACGGGGGGCCCGCTCCCCACCGAGCCCGATCCCGCTCCCCACCGAGCCCAGGAAACGGAAACTCCTGT